GTTTCCACTTACCTTAACTTTATTGGGTTGAGTGTTCATATAGTGTCTTAAAACTGATGACTGCAGTTCAAGTGAAACTACGTTTTAGCAAATCTTTTGAGCCACACTTGTTTTGGAGGAGCATTTAAAAAATGAATTTAGCATCGCTTCTTTTTTTTTTATTTTATGGTTTTTTTCTTAGATTGTTATCAGGAGGACTTGGAATTTATATGTTGAGAAATAAGAGCTCAAAAAAGTTTTCTTTTTTTTAATTTTTTATGCGGGTCTCATCATTCCTCTTGAGGTATGTGTGCTGCTGTTTTGTTATCTGCAATAAGGTGAGTTGTATTTGTCGTAAAATAGAACGTTTTTATTATTACTAGTTTTTTTTTTTTTTTCTGGCGAAATGGTATTGATTTGCAGATTACATTTCTTTCATCCAGAAAATTTTGTTTTCATTGGTGAATGCTCTTTTAAATATTTTTTACTTGGCTTATGTGTGTAGTTCTTCTGATGTACAAATTGCTCGTCATATTTTCTTTGTCTTGGAAGTTTTCAATTCTATATTCTGTGGTTTTTAATTTTCATCTTTATTATATATTGAAAAGAAAAAATAAATTTGACGTTATATTATTCACAACGTTGGGTTACTTGATGTTTGCGGAAGTGTACGTACATCTGCATATTTTTTAAAATATAGCAACCTGTGGTTTTGAATACTTTATATGAACAGTCAACTTGGTCATTTTCAATTTCCTTGTCTTATTTTATGTTGTGAGATATAAACATTTGTCAAGCAGATGATGGTCGTTTACAGATTAGTCAAAGTCAGCTATCAGGGGCTGGGTTTTTAGTGAGAGGGAAAAAGGTATGGGAAAAGTTAAAATTGGTAAAAATAAGTAGAAATTTCTTGTTTTTGGAGTGGGAAGCATGGGATTTGTAAACGAATTTTACAGAAGCGCGTCGAGCAGTCTGCAAAAAAATTATTTGTTGTCTATGCGATGTGGAGCGGAAGTTATGAATTTCTTTTGCTGGTGAGTTTTAAAGCCTGAAGTTGATCCGTTGCAAGTGTTTTTGTGAACACATTTTCTGCTTTTTGATTGTGGTTTTGTGGTCAGCCTGGCTCTCCTAAGTGTTGCTTTGGGAGCTTGGGTGGGTTATTGCCAGCGTAGCTGTTCACGTCAGTGAGATGGCGTATAGGATTTTATTTGTTGGCTTGTTTTACCGGGGCCAGTCGCTGTCATGGAAGCATTAGTATAAGTTAGCCTGGAGAAACGTATTGTAAAAAATAAGCCTGATTTGTGGAGTGGTCCCCATTGACAATTGCAGTGGTTTTCTCCTTTTTTGCTTATCGCAAGAAGTGTATATAGTCTTGGTTCACGACTCCTTTTTCTGCAAAATAGTGCTTTTCTGTTTTGGGTTTTATCAATAAGCTTGATTCGTTAGGTATACCAACTAGACCTCCTGTTTTATTTAATATTTCGGCAATTTATTTCAAAGATTCAGTAGATTGGTGCAGTCAAATTCTTATTTAAAGCATTTTGTCTCTGGTGGAACGTTATGTAGTTTTTAGTTAGCAGTCAAGAAAAAAATTTCTTTTGTTTGGTATCGTTCGGAGCCATTTCTGGAGAGGATTTCAACTGATTTGAGCGGTATAATCGAAAATTTGAGTCGGTTTCAAAAATTATAGTTTGGTAGAGTATTTTGCATTGGTTTTTTGATTATTTTTTTAGATTGAACTATAGCGTTCTGACTTTACAGTCTGATATTAAATTTGAAAAATTTTTGAGTATATAAGGCGTTAGTTTTTTGGTATTTTTTCTCATTTATTCAAGGAATAAATTTTGGGATGTTTTTATTAGGTACCGATTACTGATTGTTCGATATTTTGATTTTATTTTTTTTTAGATTTAATGTCAGCTTTATTCTAGGGACCGTTTTGTTCTTTCCAATGTAAGATTGTTTTTATTTTTTATGTTGTTTCTTATTTTTCGTTTTTTTGAAGTATGGCAATTTTTTAAAAAATTTTCATTGCGCTTCAAAAAGAATGAGTCATTATAATAAATGTGGTCACTTTTTTAAAGCAAAGTTACTGATTTAGAAAAATATTATGGGGAAGATTTAGTGTCAGTGGAACTTGTTGAAAATTGTGGAAGTCTTTCGTGAGTATTTTTTACTGTAGTTTCAAAAACTAGCCAATTAAGAATCAAGCATTATGTGTAAAAAGCTAATTAGCAGGAAAGATTTTCTTATATTCAGTGTTCGATGATTAACGATTTAACTTCAACTGAGAGTCAACGATGTGAAGGTCGGTTTCGCGACGGATGTCTTCCACCGATTAGTTTGCTTGTGTGAGTTCATGACGGCGCTCTAATATATTTTTTTAACTGGTAACCTAAAAATTTGTAATTTAGGCATTTTTCGCTACTCATGCATGTGTTGTCAAGATTATTCCAAAAGCGGTAAAAGGCACTTTTGCTATCTGCTTTGTCCTGGAATAGTACCTTTTTGTAGTCCTGTTATGCGGGCAGCCGACGGTCATCAGGTTGCAGCGGTTTCTCTTTATAAGGCAAGTTGAATTGGTTTTGTGGTACTTTAAATACATGTGTTGCTCTTATGATTTTTCAAGGTCAAGGACGAGAATTTAGTTTTTTATTTTCATTTCTTGGCTACTTAGTGTTTTTCGATTTCTAACTAAGTTTTGCTAGTTACTAGTGGTTATTATTATTCTTTTGGAAGAAGTGGCCAAAAACATAGCGGCTGTTAGGTTTTTGACAGTTTTTCATAGGTAAGTTAGTAGGAAGAATGAGAAAAAAAATAAAATTCTTATTTGAACTTTAAGTGTTTACACCAGTGGAATGCTAGCACCGGTAGACTGCATTCTATGCTAAATTATTATTAATTTCTTTTAAAACTGCTACTGTGAAGTTGCCTAGCGAGTAGACAGATATAGGAATAGCAAAGTTTTACTGACTTTAGAAACTTTTTGGTTTTTTCATTTATTTAACACTATTTTGTTTACTTTTGTGGTAAATTATTTTACTTTCTATTAGACTTTTTCTAAAGGTTCTTTTACGCTAAATGGCTGTATAAGTTTTTTAGATGACCGTTGCCTGTGAGATTTGTGATGAGCCAGTTATGGACCAGATTGGTTATTTCCTGCATTTGCAAACGAAACATGATCTCTTTCCAGGCAGGTACTTGGAGGACATGAACAAGGCAATTAAATTTTTTTATGTAGATTGTTTTTTTAATTGAAATTTTTAATTTTATACTGTATTATCCGTCTTTTGGGATTTGCAGGTTGGTGGAAGGAGGCTTATTATTATCTGAGAATTCAGCTGTTTTTATAGGAAACGAAGTTTCTTTGTGGTTTATGCCGAAGCAAATTTTGGTCTGGTCCAGGTTTGGAACGACATCATCTTATGGATCATGGTTATGCCACCGGTCGTTTATTAACACAAGTTAAAAACAAAGAAGATTCAATGATCTGTAAGTATTGTGGGGAGGTGAGCATCTGTCCCAGCTTTCCTTATTGTTAAGGATGTTGTTATTTTTTCAATATTGAAGTATAGTAGAATTTGCATCATTAAACTTTGGTTAGTTATGATTATAGCAGTGCTCTGAGGGCATACTGAACCACTTGGTAAACATGCATCGAATTGACGTGCAGTATGCTGAAATAAGTTTTGCGTGTCATCACTGCGACTACACGACGACTACGTATTTTAATCTTTTAATACATTTTGACATCACCCATCTTGGCCTACCAATTGGCGAAGTTATGACAGCTGCAGCTAAAAGTTCGATTTATATCTACTTAATTCAGTAAACTTTTGTTCACTTCTTTGCTGAAGTCTGAGGTTAATTTTTGATACTCGCCGCTTTAGTTTTTTTTCTTCTTTTTTGAATAATGTGAGACAGTCACAGGTAAGGAAAGTCAAAAAACTTTGGCCTTTGCAATTTTATGGCATGATTCATAAAAGATTTTTTTGAGGCATTGTTTGGAGTTTCTTAGAATGAAACTCGATATCATTTTCTGCGCCTTTTTTTGCATTTTGGGTTACTGAAAGTTTATAGGCGCTAGTTCTCGCGACCATTTATTGCTTTACTATAAGTAGGCTTGTTACATTTTTTAAACTATTGTATGTTATTTTAGTCCAGAAACAGAGAAGAAATAGTAATAGTAGCAACTGATGAAGGACGTTGAAACACTGATCGACGAATTGCATAATTTTTACGATAGTTTTAATGCAATACTGGTGATTGGTTGCTGGTTTGGCTAGTCATTTTTAACCATCTTTTTAGGGTTGTATAATAGCTTTTTAAATGAGGAGGACACTTGAATGCTGAAGAGGTAAAGAATTTGTCCGCCTTTCGCAAGTATGGAAATGGCTTGCTCCAGCACATTATTGTAAAAAAGATTATAAAAGAGTTTTTGTTGATTCTTTCGTTTAAACTTATGATGGATATATGTGTATTCTTGGCAATAAGCCATGATTCATCTAAGATGCTGTATCTTGGTAGATTTTTTTGCGTAGCATTACTGATTCATTAAATAATGTAAGTATTCCATCTGTTACTGATGGCTACTGGCATATCAGGTTTGTAAATATTATTTGTAAAGGGACTTATCTCTGAACTTCATAGTCTGGTTGGATGAAGTATTCGCTTTTCTTTGCCAATGTGGTTTTAACCCTTCCGGTTACTTTTCACTTTGAGATTCTAAACTGCTGTGTAGTGAAGATAGAGCCTAAATTTCTGCATTTCGCTCTGTAGCTAATCCTCATTTTTATCTTACTGCCTATTTTGGATGCAAGTCTTTTGTGGCGTGAGCTCGCTGCATGTAATATCTTTTGGTTGTTTGCTCATCATGCAGTATAAAAGATGTATTATATGCCTCTTAATCCATTTGATCTTTGTGTTTTTTTTCCTAGAAGGCTTTGGTTATGGACCTGAGCTTTCTTCATCTGCGATTCTGTTAGAGTACCGAGTTCATTTTTGTGTAACCCTCTGAGCGCAAGCTTTTACTTTTGCTTTTGAAAGGATAGAAAGCTCAGTTCAGATTCTTTTTTCAAAATTTAACTTTGTTTCGTCATGGTTGTGAAGTAGCTGTGTAACTCTATTCTGCTTGCCTTGGAGTATCGCTTTTTTACTTTTAGAAATAAAATGATTATGGCATATTTTGCTTGACACCGAGTTGTTCACAAGGTTTTGGTATGGAGAAGATTGCAAAGTGCAAGGGGGTTAAATACAGGTAAGGTAACTTTTTTTTTTCTGGTTTGTACAAATATAGTAATAATCTTTCTCACTTTGCTCTGTAATATATATTTGGGGCTATTAAAGGTAAATAAGTTCCAGTTCTTCGGTTCTGCTGAGGAAGCATGTCAGAAACTTTAGGAGGACTCTGGAAAAAGAAGTGGTAAACGGCAGGCTGGGGACCTGCCGCTTATTGGTAGGCACCAGCATTCCGAAGAGTGTTGAAGGAAGGTTGTGAAGCGGAGATAGCGACATCGCTGGTTTGTCGAAGAGTGGGAATGAAAATATTAGAAATAAAAAGATGCAGAGAAGTATTTAGCAGGTGTTAACAGTTTGGGTAACTTGATAGCCAAATGAGGTTTAGCACGAGTCTTCCATCTGCGGCGTTTTTGAGTCGTCCTGTCGATGGCGGCCGCTAGGTTTTTCAAAAAGTTGAAGGAGCTTTGTGAAGAGCAGCGGAACGTGGTGGCTGCAGTCAAAGCCGTGTGATGCAAATGGAGTTCCCTGCGTGGGTGAAGGAACTATAAGAGGCCATTCTTTTTTCTCCTTGGTCCTCGACTCTGTAATAAATTGTCTTTCTCAGAGGGTTTAGGGAAAGGTAGTAAATATGTGCAAAAGGCAATTAGACGAGAACTTGTCAATAACGTCTTAGTAAGTGCAAAGTTTTTTAATTTCATTTTCTTTATTCTCTAATTTTGGGTCGACGATGCTCTAAATCGGAGATTGGTTTCACTTTTCTTTGGTTGCTTTCGTGGAATTGTTGAGGTACCTAAAATTGGCTTTCATTTAGTCGCTCCTTTATAAACAGGTGTTTTTGAACTCTCCTTTTAGTGTACTAAATACGCTATTGAGTTTCTTCAAAAAAAATATGCAAACTGTCCCCTTAATCTGCCACAATTTTACTTGGGTTTGTGATGTAGTGCCCATGCAGTAGAGAAAATAAACTTTAAGGGAGTAGTACGAAGTTTTACAATTTTTTAATGTACATCTTCCTAAAATTCACTTTAAAGCAGGTGTTGTTATTTTCAATAAAAAAGGGCCGGGTTCTAGTTTGAGGATACGTGCAGCTTTTACGACATCAGTACTGCTTTTACCAAGAGCGAGAACTGTAAGCTGTGCCAAGCATTTCTTTGAAAAGTGATGGTTTTCCTTACCAGTCAGTTCGCTAATTTAAACCTGCCAAAAATTTTGATGTTGTCATTATTTTTCTCGCCGCATTCAAATGGTGACACGTTCGAGCTTTTTACTGCTCTGTTGAAATTTCGCAATGAAGCAGAAGTAATTTATCAAAATTTGAAAAGGAGTTGGCAGCTTATATGAAACTATATGAGCTTTTTACTGTGAATATTTGTCAGAAGACAGCTGACTGCTTGACAATTTTGGCTATACAGAGCAGTAAGTACATGCCCTAAGTTTTTGGAAACGTAAGTTTTTCTACAGTCCTGTTACCATTCTTGCAGACCAGCAGTACTGAGGCACTCATAGTTCCTCTGTGTTCCTTTTTGAGGTCGTCTCACGTTTTACCAGTGAAAAGCCAATATTAATTTTTTCGCGAAAACTTATTCGTGGTAGGGCATAAGCTGAAAAAACGTTTCGCTATTAAATAAGCTATCACAAGTCACAAGCATCAGAAGTCTCGCATGTTAAATACCATAAGATGCGCATTAAAATTTTGGAACTGTAAGGATATGAAACTAGTATAGGATTTTGTTGCTGGGCAAGCTTAACGTAAAATCAGACGAGTACGAAACTCGTATGCTGAGGTTGAATTCGACAAAAGCACAGCTTTTTTTTTGGTCCCAATAATTTTACGAAGCAGTTTATTTGGAAAATGCTTCGCAATTCATCAAAGTCTCAAAGCGGTATTTACTTACGTTGGGGTCAAGCCAATTTGGAAGCTCGTTAAAAAGCAGAGAGTTGGAAAGCGCAACAACAACAGCATCACTTTGAAGGGTTTCCGTAAGCCTAGTTTCTCCAGTCTCCAAGGAAACAAAATGGGTGTTTTTTTGGTGAAAAAAGGTCACCTACAAAAAATGAAAATACTTAAGCTGGTCATTCAAGATAATTAAAAATTACCCACTGTTTTGTAGCAATTAGTGACAATTTCCTTTACAACCTGGATTTCCATTTTCTGCTTGCTTTCTCCACTGGTTCTCGCTCTTAGGGTTTTCATTTTAGGTTCTTGTGTAACAGTTTGACTCACGTGATTATCTGTTATCCATACTGGAAGGAACAAAAAACCTGAGACTTCCAAAAAATAGAGAGCAGTGATTTGTAAGCACATCTGTTCCGTTGGGAACCGCACAAAATGAAAAAGGAAATTATTCAAAGTCAATAACGAATATAGCTTTAAAAGTTAACCCTCGGTACCGTAAAGCATGCAAGGGAGAGCTCAGAAACAAGTTTTGTCTTGGAGTTCCACGAGTTCTCCAATACTGTCAATGTAAAGGTCTAAGATGACTGAATATTTGAGTGATTTTCAAAACTTTTCTTGACTTGTGGAACGGACACGAAATAACCAAAGTGCTGTGGCTCTTTTATGGAGGCGCAGGAAGATTTTAAGTCCTAGACAGTTTTTAATTTGTCCCAGCAATTAAGAAAAACTGGACGTCTTCTAGGCTTGACCGAAAAACACCAGTACCTTCAAACGATTCTTAACTGGAAAAAGCAGAATGCAATTAAGTTATTATGCTTGTTTTTCCGTTCGATAAAGTTTAGCAATGAGAAACTGCGCCACATTGTAGTTTACGAATTTGCTCAAAACAGACATAACTTAAGCAATTCATTTAATGTTTCCGTACACGAGGCTGACTTTCTAGCATTAACCTGCACATGTAAATGACCAAGTTAATGCTAGGAAGTTGAAATAAATAAATAGTAGGCTCACGGCTTAAACTTCACTGAGCCAAAGTAGCTGCATCAATAATTGTCTTAACAAGAGGTGGCTCTTTGCATTTAATGAAATTTGCAACTTATCAACCCAAAAGACGTGCTTTTTGAGCTAATAAACTGTTTTTTCTTTAGTGTACTTTAACATAATTACAAGAGCGTTTAGATGAACGTCTTGTCTGCTACCAAGAATTTCTTTTCTTTTTGGTGTTTTGTCTGAAAATTCACAAGTAATATGAACCATCTACATCGCAACCAATCTACTGTGTGTTCAATTTCTGATGCTCTGGCCGTACAACTGTAAGGAAAAGGTCAAGGTGAACTGATAAGAACAACAATTAAAGCAAAGCTTCTCGTGATTACTTTAAAGCCGAAGTGTACATAAAACCCGTCAAACAACACGGAGTTGCAAAAACTTAATTTAACTCTGTGGAAAAACAACGAACCTCACAATTATTTCCCAGTTATCCTGCAACACACCACCTCACTAATAACTTTCTGAAAAACGTATGGGCTCAACAAGCTGACTTTGCCTGTTTCCAGCGCACACAACTATCCGGTGCTCCTCCAAATCTACCGAGCTTTCTTTTCGTCCTGCAGAAAATTTAAAAGTTCTTCGTATGCTTACAATCCCTGTACAGAGGAAAGTAAGCAGACATTGAAAATTTCATAGGCCAAAGCTGCCTGCAAAGATATGAAAAAGAACAGCCGCTAGAGTCCTGGAAGCAGAGTGAAAGGTGAATCACGAATTGAATAAAAACTCGTGCAGACCGAAATGTGGACAGGGACCATCAAAAACGAACAAATTACTGCCAGTAAAAATTAAAGTGAAGCGAACTAAGAAATGTTCTCGGGCGTAGAACTTACCTGGATTTCTTGCTAAGATCTTAAAGTAACAGAACAACACACCTTTACTTATTTACCTCCACATGGAAGAATTGGTGCCGTTTTTGACAGTACTACAATAACTCTCAACTACTACCGACTTTATCTTATCCAGAAATAAAACTATTGGTCATAAAAAATAAACGCAATTCAAGGAAATTTAAAGACAAAAAGCATCCCCATAAATCTTTGATCAGCTGTGACGCTGGAAAACAGCTTAACCGCAAGAAATACTTTGCAAAATATGTCCTTTGGTAGCAGGGCACTGACCATCTATAGAGAGTAACTGTAATAAATGTAATAACAGCTGCTCACTTCCAACTACAACGCCGTCTACTCTTAGTTTTTAAATTCACCATTTTAAAACGTAAGACATCACGTACGTTAAATTGAAGCACTTTTCTTGTCCAATGCGCCAAATTAAATCCCTCGATGGAAATTGGCTCCTGATTCTAAAATTACATAGTCTGCGAAGTACTATAAGAGTTCTCCGAAGAAATGTCTTACACAGACATCTGGAATCTGTTTTCAACAAAATATTACTGTTTATATGTCAGTTTTCATGAAGCAATATCTATTTTTTGGAACTATTCCAATAACTCGAAATATCAAAAAGAAGAGAGCGAACTGTGCTGCATCCCATATAAAACGCAGTTAAAAGCAGTAAGATGATCGAATATAAGAACTACGACTCATCAAATATTCACAGTTCATAATGTAGAAAAAATAATCCTCTAATAGGATCACAAAATTCACAAAAAAGCTCAAGGTTCTATAAATATCCTAATTTTGAAAAATCCTGGTTTCCACCTTGCTGTCATAGTAGAATCCCCCATTTTAGCCCTTCCTAGCGGCTTCAAGTCTCGCCATCTCTTCTCTGACCTACAAGAAACAAGAATAATACGTTTAGGCAGCAGGGCAAAAAAGTTTCGATGCGAGATGTAATGACTACCTCATCGTTTAAAGATCTGTCCTCACGGGGCAATATTTTGTCCAGGGTCAAAAGGAGATAAGTTGGGTAAGAGAGGAGGATTGCTGAGAACCCGAGATACAGGCATACCTCTTTCTGCAATACAACATGAAAAAGAAACTCGCAGTTGGCGGAAAAAGAATATGTGTTTAAGAACTTAAAATGCTATTTTGCACCAGTTAAGAATAATGCACTATGCATCTTTCTTTAAAAAGTAGCACTTAGCAAATGCGGGCAGAAAGTAAGAAACAGTAAGTTCTACCGTTACGCTGAAGTATCTCATTGGGGGAGTTCCTTCATAACCTTTATGGTTAAGTCGTAAAGCAGTTTTTAGAAGACCCCGTGAACCGAGTAATGGTAATAATCGACGCAGCGCCATACTTCTGAAAATGCTAATACAAGTGTAACTAGTAAGGACTAGAAGAAGACTAAAAGCCGATAATGAGGGGAAAAATGTTTCTTTCAAACGCAATAAATGTAAATAACAAATTCGCGTATGCAATATATTTTTGGTCTTAAGCAAAAACTAAATAAGAAAGACAGCGCTTATTTTTTGAAACGTTATGCAAGTGGTCAGCAGTGTGATGATCTGAAAATGACGGAACATTCAGTCTGGAAACGAGCTAATGTAAATCGAATATTATCAGGGCGTTTTAGAACTGAAACAAAGAAATGCAGTTTAACGATCAAAGTGCACAACTGAAAGTTCCAGCCTTTAGCTACTCACACAGGAATTCTGAAAACAGGTTAAATCTGGAACGCTCTATAATTTAACAAATCCGTTAAACACATTGCTTACAACCAGGAAAGTGCAACATCGCGAACAATGGTTCAAGAAACACCCGTAACGTTTCAAAAATAAATGCACGAGTCGAAAACCGTGTCAAGACCCATTTTCCAAGGTGCTGTAGCTTAATATCACTGTCTTTGAAATAAATCGACTCTAAGACTCTTCAGTCTCTTGGGGGTTACGTCGGCCATTTGCATATAGCTTGACAAAAATTTACAGCCTTTTCAAACCAGGAATTGGGAGAGGAGAATTAATTAAAGTAAAACTACGCTTTCAAAGGATTCAGTGTTAAAACGCAGGCAAAGAAATGTGATGTTGTAGATCGTTGACAACTGTGCTTATGTTGTTTTTCTGGTCTGCGATTGGGAGACGGCGTCGAAAGTTTTTTATTCACGGGTACTGTGACAAAAGTCTACTGTTAAGTGTTGCTGGTAAAATTTCGAGAGAATATTATTCGCTTTTTGGACTACGTCGTGTGACAGTTTTAGATCCATTCTTTTTGAAGATTCAGCTCTGAAACTCTTTCCAATAATGATACTTAAACGTCACGGAATTTTTTGTGCAACTGCACAGGCTGTGTCTTCTATTCTACCTAAAATTTCTATTATTAAATTCCTAAATTTCTCTGCGATTAGTAATGAAGACAACATTGGATGTGTTAATTTTGATTTACACTTCGGACAATGCCGATTCCTCTAATCTTCTATTCTTTCCATGCCACTCCAGGTGGCTTGACTGGTTTCTTATTTCTACCGTTTTTGACCTTTAGAACTTTATCGGCAGTTGCTTCACGAGTTTCGTAAAACTTTTAGTATACATCTGTAGAGACAAAATTAAAAGCTGGGTACGTTCAATCTGAATTAAATGGGATTTGTGAAAATTCAAAACTTCTTTTGGACATATAAATATAAAACTTGGGAAGTGTTTGAGATCTTGAGAAGTAAATATATGGAGTAATTAAACACTGGGTTTTTAAAGAAGAACAAATACAGAGGAAAACTTGAAGACGGGAATGGAAACAGAATGTTGTGTAAATATTGCTGAACTTGTTCTGAAATCTAGAGCAACAACGAAAAATGCTTGATGTTTGACCTTATACGATCCCAGAAAACGAGAAAAAACGCCTGTAGTGTACTTTGTGGGGACTGCATGCTCTGATTTCTGCATTATGATTATGGTTGTTGAAGCAAAGACCGAATTGGTGGAGTGGCTAGTTACACGGAGGCCAAAGTAGTGTTCAGTGGCAGTTTTTTCATACAAACACTTGTTATGCCAAATATGATGCAACAAAGATCGAGTTTAATGGTTATTTTGGATCCATCACTTCAAATAAATTGAAATAGCCAATTAGTGACTGATATGCAGTCTTCTTTAGCTGCATCTGTTGTATATCCTGATAGGATGACAACTGTTTTTTTCGTAACAAGCAGGTCTTCGGTTGCTGAGGAAGTGCATCAGTACTGGAGTAACATTTCTGGTTATCTTTGTTCGAATGGATTTCGCGTGATGATTTCATCTACTGTGTTGAACCATTTGAAACTTTGAGAAAATTATTGGTGTTTTTGAATAAATTGTTGTACTGATAATGACCGTGACGGTGATTCGTATGGTGTGTCCTCTGTGGTCACTGTATCAGCGGTTTCTGCTCGATTTTATCCCTGTCATAACTGTAATACCATAGTTTTGATTTGTTGGCATAGTTTTTATTCCTCTTTTAGCTGCTAAATAATGTCTGCGGTATTACACAAATCATATTTAATCTGTTTTTCAAATGATGATTAAAAATAAGGATTTTTTCTGGCACTATATGTTGGTGTTTACAAATCCGGAAGCTGCAGTAGGTTTATAGTTTTTATGCTGTTTAAAATTACGGTATTTTGAAATTCAGACTATTGAAAGTCTTTTGCTTTTTTCTGCTTACTTAAAAATTTGGTTGGCGAAAATTTTTTTAAAACTTTTCGTTCAAAATATGTCTACTTCACGGCTGCTCCGCAATTGTCGCGACGGCACGCGAAACGGTCTCAAGGCAACAGACTGTAATGACCCAGACATGGCCCTGAGGGGAAGCTCTTGGAGGCAATGGTGGAAAGGTCAATACGACAATGACGGCATATAACGAGCAAGGTAACAGTTCTTAATAAGTCCTGAGTTCTTACTGGCTTTACGGATTAAGTCTCATCTGTTTCCTCTTACTGTCCTTTGTGACAATCATTGTCAAAGTTATTTTCTCCTCTTGCATTTCCAATTTCAAAGTTTGTTTATTGATTTCATTTAGTTTATCATTATATAAATTTTCGTCAAGTTAAAGTTTGTTTGTTTGTTTGTTTGTATTGTACGATAATTCTTTGTAATAGGGTAGCTTTAAGGGCCTGCGGTCAGTGTTGCCTTTCTATTTCCATCAGTAATATATTATATACTCCTGGGGTAGATTGTGGGCCTGTGCTCTGTGATCTTTCCTTATACTTTGTATTCCTACAGCTTCGTTATTTATAATCGAAGGTTTTAACAAATAAAGAATAATCGAAACAAATCAAACGGCCAACACTATTAAACGTTACCACTAAGCAAATACAGTCCTCAGAAAATATAAAGCTGTGAGCATTGGCGACTACGATTGCTTGCGGTTTAAAAGTTCAGTAGAAGCTCGGTTCCCCATAGGGACACGGTAGAAGAATTGTGATCGACTCCCCAATTAACTGGACAGTCGGTAATCGCGACAGTATTTTTTTTTACAATATTTTTTTATTCGGAAAAAAATTTAGAAAAAAAAGGGGGAAAAATGCTGGAATACAAATAGTGTTGATAATATTTGAATATATGAAAATATTGTAAGAGTAATCTTGTTTGAATTAACCAAACCACAGTGTAGTGTTTCAGCTGTTTAAGCAAATTTATGTATTTCTTCCAGCGTACTTAAGAAAACGAAGCAAAACAAGTTGTTGCTGCTTATTAAACTGCTAGTTGCTTTATGATTATGGAAGCTAACTGAAAAGTTTTACCATAATATTGATATTCACAGTTTATGAAACCACAAATAAAGCCAACTTGCTCATAAGTTACTGCCGTCGTCGTCGTCGTCGACGTTGATGTGGTCATCATGAATACTGTCAGCATTACTACGTCATCACTGTCGAAGCAACAGGACTAACTTTTTGATCTAAAAACGGAAGCTGGATACTGAAGAGGTAATTACTGCTCATAGTGATAAACAGAGGAAATATTGGCGCATAAAGTTATAACATTGTTGGCAGTAAAAAGCAATATTTCTATAACCAAAAAGCGTTAAGCAATAAAAGTTAATAAATATATTTAAAGGTACATTTAACTTAGTTTTTAATATTTGGTTACCAATATTGTTTAACAGTTGAATGTTTATTTTACATTGACTGTGTATTAATGAAAAAAATTGTTTTTTTTTTTTTTAAAATACATTTCATTTATTCATATATTTTATCTAAATGGAACAAAGAAATAGTGGTAGTAAAAGAAGAGGGAAAAAAGGTAAGTGATTTTTAAATGGATAGATTAGTTTAACAGTTTTGAACAGTTTGATTGCCAATGCTTTTATAATATTTTGAACTTTAGTTTTACTGTTAAATGCACTCATTATTTGTATTTGTTTCTTGGTTTGTTCTTTTTGATACTGTTATAGTTTTTAAAATTTGTTATTTTTATAGAGTGTTAAGCTAAAAAATTTTGTTCACATAATTTTTTTCCTCTCTATTTATTCACAACTGTATTATGTTAATTTTTTTTTGGATTATTTCTCTTTTTTTTTCATTTATTGGTTAAATTTTACAAGTTTATAAATATAATCAAATATGTTTTTTTCTTTTGTTTTTTTTAAAAATAATTTATCTGTTTTGGTGACATTTCACAAAGATTGTTGTTTGTATTTGGTTTAAATAGGCTTTCCTTTTTTTTTCACTTAGAAAAATTCAAAAAATACAGTGTCTGTTATGTAGGAAAAAAAAAAGGAAGGGAAGAAACACTTGCATTTTTAAATAGTCTTTATTTTCTGACAAATATTTTTGATAGTTCGAACTGCTGTGTTATTTGATGCAATTTCTTCTCTGTCATATTTTACAAGTTATAATTTTAAGTTTGCTGATAAGTTGATAAATTATTGTATTTTCTTTTAAAACCTTTAAAATTGCGCATACCGATATATACAAATTAGATAACTCTTATGCTAAACTGTTTATTGTTGTGCTGTAGCAAAAATTTTTGTCATCGATCAATTGGTACTGTTGCAAAAAAGAAGAAAAAACTAGAAAAAAAAAGGAGGAAGGCAAAAAATAAGAAAGTTGGGGAAAAGGAAAACTATTTGCTGTTAAAAAATCAACACAAAAGTTTTTTGTTTATTGATAGATTATTGTAATCTCTTTTTTTTTTTTCATCATTTCTTCTTTATTCTGCAATAATTTTATGAACAATTTTTTATTAAACTGTACAACTTAATGTTATCTGTTGTTATTTTTGTGAAAATCGTTGCTCGCAGATGGTGATAAAGAAAAAAAAGAGATTTAATTCTCTCTATTTTTTGTGCAATTGTTGTCGCTGTTGCTGTTGTTAATTCAATGGGATTT